TTTGGTTTTTAAACAAGGCATACACGTATGTATAACTACAATGGAAAGAACATCGTAATCATGATAAATTATATAGTGTCTAAAAGTAATATTTCATTACTTGACATCCACTTCTGATTTTAGAGTAAAACTCATTACACCTTTTTGTGATGGAAGAAACCACATCTTCTGTTTACCTTCTTTTTTGAAGACCTCAGGTTCATAAATATTTATCTAAAGTGACCTCATATGTATTTCTATACTGTTGGGTGTTTTGTTTTTCAGCCTGAGTCTCGCTCTGTTACCCAGGCTGGAGTCCAGTGGCTATGCATAGGCGTCACCACAGTGCACCACAGCCTTGAACTCCCGGGCTCAGATGACCCTCCGGTCTCAGCCTCCCAAGTAGCTGGGGCTACAGACATGTGCCACCATGCCTGGCCCTATTTTTATACTGTTAAATGCAGATAATTTCTGTTGTTTGGAATTGTTTTGAATTCCCTAACACTTCTTTATGTTTCACAAAAATTTCCTCAAAAGTTTTGCTCAATAATGTTCCTCAAAAGTTTTGTCCACCTCTGGCCCCGCAATTTGGCTTCCTTCTGGGAAGGCCTGGTCAGTAGCAGACCATCTCCTACAGCCACTTTCCAGTGGGCATAGGTGCCCTAGGCAAGATAGCCATCAGCCTTGTGTGTTTTAGATTCCACCTTATCCTGATGCTATTAAACATTTAAATTGAATAACAGTTCTCTTTGTTTTGATGCCATGTTCACCAAGCAATCTTCTGAACCTAATTTCTTGTGACTCAGTTTCTTACTTTGTAAATCAATAAACTGCCATTCTGTCTTGTATATTTGACTTTTGTGAACTTTGTTAGGATAAAGTAGCTTCCAGAATTTGATTGCCTTGAGACACTGGCAGCTGAGGGCCAGACCTTGCCACTTGGCAGACTGAGCAGGGCAGCCTGCTCGACAAGGCCTCTTGGCAGTCAGCTCCCTCCAAGGCCACACCCCAAGTTCAACATACATCTTTCTCTCCAACTTCTGCAAGTGTAACTGTGAACAGCATAATTCTGTGAGTGATGTGTTATTTCTTTGTGCTTTTTTCAAGAGGCATTATAAAAGGTTTTTTATGTTTTTCACCATTCATTTTTTGAAAGGACTATATAAGGCCTTGGACAACTAGAGTTGGGTCTTGACCTTTTGTAAAGGCAAACTTGTAAAGTGGCAAACCACTTTATAAATTTTTATTAGCTACAGATCTTCTGGACGTTTTCTCTGTTCATTAATATCTGCTTGCTAGAACAAATACAAGGCAAGTCAGAAATCATTCTACAATCGTAGGGTGTTGCTCTTTAATGGAACTTTTAAGGTTCCCCCCCTCCAAATATTTGTTGAAAAAGTAACAGGCAGTTGAAGAAAAGTATCCATGAACTTCAATTTTATATGCCTAGGGAAGGTTCACTGGAACACTACTGCAAATTGTATACCTGTCCTCCTTTTGAGGATTCAGGATGCATGTTAGCATATTAAAGAAGCTGGGAAGGCCGGGCAAGGTGGCTCATGCCTGTAATCCTGGCACTTTGGGAGGCCAAGACAGGCAGATCACTTGAGGTCAGGAGTTTGAGACCAGCCTGGCCAACTTGGTGAAACCCCATATCTACTAAATATACAAATGTTAGCGTGCACCTGTAATCTCAGCTACTCGGGAGGCTGAGGTGGGAGAATCGCTCAAACCCGGGAGGTGGAGGTTGCAGTGAGCGGAGATCGCACCACTGCATTCCAGCCTGGGCGACAGAGTGAAATTGTCAAAAAAAAAAAAAAGAAAAAAAAAAAAGGTGCTGGGAAATCTTATGGTAAGAAACGTATTTAACTTTGTGTAGTCTGGGTTTCTTAAATTTACTAAAATTCCTCAATTTCCAGTCCATCTCTCCTCTCCCACCCCAAGCCCCAATTAACAAATATGATTGATTTCAGAGATGTTTTCTGTGCACCATCCCTGTTTCACTTTTCCTTCTTTGACCTTTTTCTTTTTTTTTTTTTTCAGTTAGAAACAGGGTCTTGCTCTGCAGCTCCAGGCTGCAGTGCACTGGTGCAATCACAGCTCATTGTAACCTTGAACAAGGGTTCAAGCAGTCTTCCTGCCTCATCCTCCAGAGTAGCTGAGACTACAGGTGTGCACCACCACACGCAGCTAATTAAAAAAAAAATGTAGAGAGGAGGAGATCCCAGGCTAGTCTCAAACTCTTGGCCTCAAGTGATTTTGGCCTCACAAAGTGCTGGGATTAGAGGCATGAGCCACTGTGCCTGGCATTCTTTGACCTTTCTGCATCTGATCCTGAAACATAGAACATGAACCCAATGATTCTGAAATTTCCAAAAATGATTTGGCAGCATTGTCTTAGCAATCCAGTAAGAGCAGCTTAATCCTTAAAAATCACTTGGCTGTGATAATTCTTGAGTTTATTTTTCACTATTTATTGTTTTAAAAATAATGCTCATTATTATTAAAGCATTTAGCACAATACAAAGATTAAACTAGGTGCCTAGAATAGTATCTTACATTTGTATAAGGCATTGTGGCTTTCCTGTGTATTATCTCAGATGGCCATAGACTAGGCCTGTGAACCATGCAGAGCAAATATTTTAAACCCTGTTTCGGGAAAAGTGACTTGAGTTAAGGGTGTTCTGGTGATTTGAATAAGACCATATGATCATTTAGCAACAAGGCTAGGATTAGATCTTTTAATTTCTGACTTCTACCTTCTGTAATTTCTTTTTCCACAGTTGCTTATTAGCCAATCTTTGTAGAGTACTTTACTATTGGCTAATTCTTTCAACTACTCCTACTGCGCCCCCTCCGTCCCCCCAGTCAATAGGTTGTCTCATTCATTCATTCATGGCTACTCTGAGTCAGATGCAGTGGTGTTGCGGTGTTTTGAAAAATGAATCAGAAAGAGTTCTTACTTGGAGGTGTTCCTGGTTTGGTGGAATAACTGTTAGGGTTGAATTTTTCTTAGGAGTGATAAGCACCGGTACCTGACTACAAATGTTAGAGAATATGCACCAAAAAAATGAGAGATGTGATATCTCTTCCGGTAGAGCATGCTAGAGAAGTCACCACGGTAAGATTTCAGCTCAACTGGGCCATAAGGGATCAGCAGATTCCTGCAGAGATGGTAGTGGATATCACTGGTAGATATAAGTGCTTTAGGGATAGGCCATGCAAGAGCTTGGGGGCATGAAGGAGCTGGGTATGTTGGGAAAAGAATGAGTGGTGAGGAAGAGCATCAGATAAGGATCGAAAAGATTAAAAGCAACAGATAAGGATAGCAAGTTAGAGTCCTGACTCCACATCACACTAGCTGTGTGACTGCTCCAAACTTCAGTTCCCTACTTTGCAGGGCTGTTACGAGGGTGAAATGCAATCATGCATGGCAAGTGCCTCTATCTTAAATCCTCAGGAGAAAAAAAAAGGGGAAATCAGTGAAGAAAATATCATAAAGTTCCTGAAATATAACCACACTCAGTGAATGTGAGTTGTTCTTATTTATCATGTTTAGCTAATTTGACTTGCAGTAAGGCAATGAGGAGCCATGACTGATTCTAAACAAGTGACACGACCAGCTTCTCGTTTAAAGTAGTCAGCAGAGGAATAAATTTATAATGCCAAAATAATCGATGCAGTTTTAGACATAATGATTCTCAGGCTCAAGCAGTACATTGAGGTATAAACCCCTAACAGGACAACAGTAGAACTGGGAGTTTGCCAAAGATACTTGTTTGCTTTCAACCTATACTTGACTTGCTTGACATCTTTTGGTTCATTCCATCAACCCTGGAATCTAGTCCACTTCAGGTCCACATCCAGGACTCTGTATCTTCATGTAATTAAAGCAAGATGGATGTTGGGGCATAGGTGGCAGGTTTGGGGAATACTTTTCAACTAAGAATGCTTTGGATGGTCACTCTTGGCAAGCTGTGTCTTTGGACTGATCTGTTATGATCCTCATCTAGAAAAGCAAAGCCTCTTTAATGTATGAACTGTTCTAGTCTTTTTATCCAGATGTGGCCACGGTAGGCAAGTCTCTTAGGGTCAGTGCCCACCTGCCGCAGACACCAGAGTTCAGTCTTCCCCCCGTCAAGTAGCCATTTTGCCACACTCCTTATCTAATAGTCCAGATTATCTCCTTTGAACCAGTACTTCGATTGTGTGGCCCAGTGATCTCTAAAAGTTGGCACTGGAATGCCTTTAAGCAGACATCCATCATCCAGTTAAGGCCACAGAGCTTCCCTATTGTTACCTGGCTTCATTCATACATTTCTGTTTCCTTCTTGGTTCCTATAGGCATTTGAGTTTCATTTGAAAATGCAATGGGCTGCACAGTCTGGAGAAGTATATTATACCTTGTTATAGCACTTTTTGGAATGACCCAGAATTCAGAATGAAATGGGGCAGCTATGAGCCCCATCCTAAGGGGCCTGTTTCTAAAAGTAGTTTCCCCCTACAATATATGTAAAAACTGCTTTAGGCTGGTGTTCATATGCATATTTGATACAACACTTCATGTTTCATAGAATTCATAAGGCAGAAGCTACTTCTTCCTATTTAACTAAACTGTATTAACTCTTAGGAGACTGACATTTATCAGGGACATAACTATTAGCACTATCTTACAGATTTTATTTAGTAATGAAATGACAAAATAGATGGAACTTTTCTTGTTTTGAATGCTTGTTGAATGTGACCTTTGTATATAAATGTGTTATATTATATATGAATGCCACCAGTTCTTCTTTGCTGTCATTAACTCCTGGTTTTGCCACCACAAAATGAATTTCTCTTGCTTTGGAAATAGTGCTTTTCTTTCTTCCCTAGCTTTGTATTATTTATCATGTGAAATACTTGGCTGTGTTAACTGTTAAGGTAGAATTTTTCTTAGTTGAAATTAAACAGTTCCATAGTTTATTATAAAAGATAGCTTTTTTTCCCACTGAATAATTTGTTTTTCTATGTTGTTTCAGTTTCTGTTACTATGGCAATGACGGCAGGGACTACAACAACCTTTCCTATGAGCAACCATACCCGGGAAAGAGTGACTGTAGCCAAGCTCACATTGGAGAATTTTTATAGCAACCTAATTTTACAGCATGAAGAGAGAGAAACCAGGTATAGTAAGGGCTAATCAAAACTTTTTTTTTAGTTAAATAAGCTGTTGTGCTGTGAGTGGAATAGAAACTTGTTTTCCATGAATAATATGAATATTATGGATCCCTGCATGCTGATTTTAAGTTTCCTGTACTGACAGTGCACATAACACGTGTTTTATTTTCACAGAGTAGTTTCCTGAGGTGCCCCAAGTCTTGTGTATCTATATACCCATATCACATGTCAATTATGTTTTCAACAAACCTTTTCCAAACAGGAAATTATGATATGTTTTTACATTTTCTTTTAAAGGGGCGCCTGGCTGGGTGTGGTGTGGCTCATGCCTATAATCCCAGCACTTCGGGAGGCCGAGGTGGGCAGATCACCTGAGGTTAGGAGTTCAAGGCCAACCTGGCCAACATGGTGAAACCCCCATCTCTACTGAAAATACAAAAAATTAGCCGGGTGTGGTGGCAGGTGCCTGTAATTCCAGCTACTCAGGAGGCTGAGGCAGGAGAATTGCTTGAAGGTTGCAGTGAGCCAAGGCTGCAGTGAGCAAAGATCGTACCACTGCACTCCAGCCTGGGCAACAGAGTGAGACTCAAAAAGGATGCTTTATGAATGACTGACTTTACTCCAAAACCTTTTACAGTGTTGTGTGCATATCGGTGGGAATAGAAGAATAAAAAAAGAATGACATGTTATTTTGCCTTTAGAAAACTTACAGTAAAGGAGATAACACACATAAATATTACATGAAAGAGTGAAGAATATTAAGATAAGTACAAGGAAGGGAGAATGTGCTTTTGTCTAGGCAACTGGGAAAGCTTTGTAAATAGTGGTGGCATTTAAACAGGGCTCTAAAGGAAGAAAACTATTTATATATGCATAAAAGGAAGGAGACAGAGGCAAAAGAGCAGGAGGTAGGATATTAGAGACAGAAGAAATCACCAGGTCAGGCAGTGACCAATTTGGCTCAAGCACAGGATGTGCTAGATTTCAACATCCTGGGAGCCTTGGATTCTTTGTTAACGTAGCTCTTTTCATGGTAGTGGAGAACTTTGGATGTTTTTGAGCAGAAGAATCAAATGAAAACAAGTGTTTCTCTGGAAGGGAACTTTAGTTGTGATACAGAGAATAGTTTGGGGTCAGGGTGGGAATTAGAAACAGGAAAGGCTAGTGATGTAGTCCAGGTAAATGGAAAGAAGGCTTGAATTAGAATCGTGACAACAGAGAACTGACAAGAAAAATTGATAAAATGTGGCTACTAGCCAGATATGCAATATGAGGGAAATAAGTCAATGTTGCCACTGAAATTTCATGCCTGGGCAAACTGAGGGTGGTACAGTTTAAATGAAATAGAGAGGAAGAGTCTAATTTAATTTTGGATGGATTTAACTGCAGATTAGATACAGGTACGGTGAGAATTAGTGAACTGGAAAATAATTCAGGAAACATAATTCCTAAAATAGGAATATGCGAAAGAGTTGAGAAACACAGAGAATCATAAGAAAAGCTGACATATCTCTGAAAGTTTTGAAAGGGAGGAAAGGAATGAGAATGGAGCAGAGGCAAACAAATAAAAAAAAAGAGCATCAGCAGAAATTCTAAAAGGTTCCGTTTAGGCAGAAGGAAAGGGATCACAAGTAGAAGATCTAAATGGTAAGTAGGTGGATAAATCTCAACAAAAATTCTATAAAGCAACAGAAATAATAGCGATAATATCTTACACATTAAAAATAGAATTATAATATTTTCCAACAGCAAAATATAATTCAGGAAAGAAGTAATTAGAATGATGTTAGTAGAAAGGGCATAGAGATTAGCTTCAGAGTTTGACAAATGATGTTGTAATTTCTAGAGTAACCATAAAATGATAAAAATAGAGTTTGTAATTTCCAGACTAGCAGAAGGAAAAAATTGGACGGAGCGAAAAAAAAAAGTCAGTTCAAAAGAATGCAAGAGAGAAAAACTGAAATACCAAAAATGGAAAAAATGAAATACCAAAATAAAAAGTGCAAGATAAGTTCGAAATAAATATAAATATATCAATAATTAAATGAATGATAAGGTAATTAAAGTCTCTGGAAGTGATTATATCATCCTGGGAGAGTGAATAAAGTAGAAGAGAACCAAGGAAGAAAAAGCAGGCACTTAAAAAAATTCCTCGGCCGGGCGCGGTGGCTCAAGCCTGTAATCCCAGCCTTTGGGAGGCCGAGACGGGCGGATCACGAGGTCAGGAGATCGAGACCATCCTGGCTAACACGGTGAAACCCCATCTCTACTAAAAAATACAAAAAACTAGCCGGCTCTGGAGTGCGGCCCGTAGTCCAGCTACTCGGGAGGCTGAGGCAGGAGAATGGCGTGAACCCCGGGAGGCGGAGCTTGCAGTGAGCCGAGATCCGGCCACTGCACTCCAGCCTGGGCGACAGAGCGAGACTCCGTCTCAAAAAAAAAAAAAAAAAAATTCCTCAGAATTTCGAAGGTTCATTGTCTTTACTTGCTGCAGTGTTAAAGTAATTCAGTTCGCTTTCTATTTCCAAATAAAGGAAAGTAACAATAAAATTATCTGCATTATTAAAAAAAAAAAGTCGTCTCAGCTTGGTGCCAGTGGAAGTCAAACAATCAGCTCATATTTTCTAAAAGCTTAGACTTTAAGAAAATATGTGTTGTATTTTTAAGGCTTAACTAATTGGAGAAATGCATAAGCCCAATAAATTTCTAATCAGAGCAAAGCGTAAGAGCATTTTAGGTGGAAAACTATTTTTAAAAAAGGTACAACAGAAATCATGGATCTTCCTGTTTAGATATGGTGGAAATGGATAAAAGTTACTGTATCTCTTCCAGAATGAGGAATGATTTCATGAAGTGTTAGTCTTGGCAATAACTGAGGAAAGGGACAGTGGAAATTCAACAGAAGAATAAAGTTGCTTCTATGTTGATAGCTCCTCCCAGAATAATGGTCCTCTTACTCTCTGGATTCTGTCTGCAGAGGAGAAAACTGAAAATCATTCAACAAGCAGCACTGAAGTGCCTGGGGCTGGGTGATGGCAGCACCGACGCTGATGTTAGGAGATTATTCTCATCTAAGGGTTGGGGTCTAGGGGAAATAATGCATAAACAAAAGATACAAATCAGTGCAATAAGCACCAAGGTAGGTGCCTATGACAAGCACTGAGGAAACATGTGATGGAGGATATGCTCTTAGGCCTCATCCTCTCCAGTGGGGTGCTGATGTATCAACAGCCTTTAAATGTTACAACTCTTCTATAAGAAAGAAAAATAAGTGATCTTAATGATGGTTTAGGAAAAAACTTACCTTTGGACATGTAGCCATGAATAACAAATATCAAAAAAGTTGTGAGAGGGTTTCAGTCCTTAACCGTTATACCCATTCAGTTAAATCCTGAAAAGTTACTGTTATTCTGACACACTCCAAAACTAATTAGGAGGAGTTCTACTAGGTTTAGATTTAGGGAAAACCAATACAATAGAAATAAAATAGTAATATTCACTTGGAAATGAGTTGCAAAATGTGTTCCACAACCACCCCTGTAGTTTTAGTTACTTCATCCATACTGCCCTTATGTCAAATGCTTAGCTTAACTAACTTCAAGGGTGCTGTTTAAAAAAAGATGAGTAACTGAACCTGGCTGTACCTAGAAAAGCAAATGTTGTGGTAGCTAGTGGGTTTTTTTTTTTTTAATATTTATTTATTTATTTATTTATTTATTTATTTATTTATTTAGAGACAGAGTCTCGCTCTGTCGCCCAGAGCAGTGTGCAGGAGTGCAGTGGCACAATCTCGGCTCACTGCAACCTCTGCCTCCCGGGTTCAAGCAATTCTTCTGTCTCAACCTCCCAAGTAGCTGGGACTACAGGCGCCCACCACCACGCCCGGCTAATTTTTTTTGTAGTTTTAGTAGACACAGGGTTTCACAGTGTTAGCCAGGATGGTCTCTATCTCCTGACCTCGTGATCCACCGCCTTGGCCTCCCAAAGTGCTGGGATTACAGGTGTGAGCCACCGTGCCTGGCCGCTAGTGGGTTTTTACAAATACACATGTATGACTTCCCAATTTTCAAATAATTTTAATACAGTAAAATAAGTGCAATTGCATTGAACATTTTTCCTTGATAAATTAAGGAAAACTGAGTTTAGAGTTTAAGTGAGGGACTTAGCCAAGCTCATTTAGCTAATAAGTGTTAGAACCAGGGATATCTACCTTAAAATTTTATACTTTTAGTCATTATAGTCATCTTTTTGTATTTCTAATATAAGCATTGTGAAATATTAATGATATTCGTGGATTGAACATTAAATAGCAGAGTTTTCCATATTAGAACATCAGTCATTGCCAACATTTCATTTAGGCAGGAGAGTGAAGTAAGCTTTAGAAGTAAATTATTCATTTGGCCATATGAGAAAGCAAAATCTGGGTTTGTTTTTTGAGAAAGAAAACTATTCTTAGTGATTATCTTGATCCAACTTGAAAGATTTTTTTTTTTTAAGCCTAGCAAGCTGAAGTGGTTAACTTGAATAAATAAATGTATATTTCTTAAGTGGGAATAGTTAGGAATGTGTTTAAAATTTAAATTGTTTTTTTCCTTTGAAAAGGCAGAAGAAACTAGAAGTGGCCATGGAAGAAGAAGGATTAGCAGATGAAGAGGTAATGTCATTACCTATAGTTACCGTACAAAAGCACCCCCAGTGACCTTTCATTCATTTGACATCAGCTATTTTATAACTTAAATAGTGTGCATTTTATCATTTGAATATGGGCTTCTTACTTTGTTGCTGTCATGGATATCTTTTATTGATATCTTTAGAAAGAGGCAGGTTTTCTTTTTTTTTTTTCTTTTTAATTCCAAGAACACATATTCAGAGAACATTGCCTACTGTATTTTAGGTGTGTGGAACAAGAAAGGCAAGCTACAGGAGGAATTAACCAATTGCCAATTCTTCTAAAAATTTTTTCTAAATATTCTTTTAAAGCTATCTATTTCTCTAGTTCAGTGCTATTACCCTAGTTGAAACTACTATATATTTTAACCTGAAAAATAACTGTCCCCAACTGGTCTCCCCATTTCCCACCCCTAGTTTTTCTGCGTACTGCAGCTAGAGTAATCAGTCTAAAAATAGATTTGATCACATCACTGTTTTGCTTAATAACCCTTCACTGGCTCCCTTATCTCAGGATATGGGCAAGCTCTTTAACATTGGTGTACACGACCCTTCACTAGTTGGCCTCTGCTTCTCTCTCTCTAGCCTCACTTCTTGTCACCCACCCCTCATGCTGACAAGTATGAATTTCTTTGATGTCCCCTGTCTTGCCTGTGGACCTTTTCACATGCTCTTTCTGCTGCTTGGAACTCTTCCTTACTCCTACCCAGCTCCCATTATTCTTAAGAATCTTTAGTAGCTGGGCATGGTGGGGCATGCCTGTAGTCCTAGCTACTTGGTAGAGTAGAGGTGGGAGGATCACCTGAGCCTGGGAGTTTGAGGTTGCCATGAGCTATGATACGTCGTTTCACTCCAGCCTGGGCAAAGAAGCAGCTTTAGGCCTCACTTCAGGCATCACTTCCACTGGGAGATCTTCCTTAACCTCTCAAGGTAGCTTCTGTATTCTACTGTTCCTATCCCCATGGGAGCCTTAAAATACAGTCTTCCCAAATACTAGACACTGTAACGTCTTGTTGAGCATTACATCTCCACAGCTGTCTGGCAGAGCTAAAACAAATATTTGGTGAATAAACGAATAATGACTTTTGCCCTCAAGGAGTTTTAGATTAGGAGAGGGAGAGTGAGTGTGTGTGTGTAAAAATACGTACGCATGATAGAATGTGGTGAACTTTGAAAATATAGAGAAGATTTTTCCTCTAATTCAGAGGATCAGAAAAGGTTTCATAGAAGAAGTAACAATTGATTTGAATTGTAAAGAATGGGTAGAATTTACATTAGAGGTAAGAGGTGTATACAAAATAATACGTATACAGAATAATGAGTTTACATTTGAGCTATAAAGGGTGCAATAAAAGGAATAGCGAAGTAAGTTGATAGCACACCATGGAAAGCTAGGTTTAGAATAGTTTACTAAAAAAGGTATACTGTAGTACTAGGCAATAGGGAGTCACAACCTAGATTGATTAGTTTAACATGCTGAGTGCAGTGGCATACACCTGTAATCCCAGCACTTTGGGAGGCCACGATAGGAGGATCACTTGAGCCCAGGAGCTCAAGATCAGCCTGGGAAATATAGTAAGACCTGTTCTCTACAAAAAAATTTAAAAATTAAGCATCGTGTCGTATGTATGTAGTCCCAGCTACTCAGGAGGCTCAGATGGGAGGATCACTTGAGCTCAGAAGGTGGAGGCTGCGGTGAGCTGAGATCATGCCATTGCACTCCAGCCTGGTTGACAGAGTGAGAGACTGTCTCAAAAAAAAAAAAAAAAAAAAAAAAGTTTCTGTATTTAAAGAGTAGACCATCATCAAATGATTAATTGAAATCAAATCAGTTTTCTAATCTTCCCTGTACCTTTCCTAGGACTGTACCTGTTCCTTATAGTTGCAATGTTTAAATCAAATACAGTGTTTTATGATTTATACTAAAGGTGGTAACTTTGCTAATCAGTTGACTCAATCTAGAAAACTCAAATGTTTTTACATTTAAAATTATCTATTATTATTTACATAACATTAATATTTTAAAAGCTCATTTATGTCCTTTAAATTTTAGTGAGAAAGGTAGTGACTTAAATCTGTATTCCAATCTATAGAGAAAAAATAAGACTGAGCATATCTTTCCTCATTTTAAAATTGGAATTATAAATTTCTTATAATTAATAACCATATAATTGCATTTATATATTATACATCATTATATTGATACAGAAATCTTAAATATCAGATCTTAATTTGAAGTGTAGGGAAGAGACCGCAAAAACAGATGCCCAAGCATTAAGCAGGCGACGGAAGTGAGACAAGCTGGCCAGGTTAGTTTCATAGTGGCATCTAGGGTTATATATTCTTTTGATCCAGATATACTTTGTTTCCATATTCAACTTATATGATTTTTTTGCTTCCACAAAGAAATGTATTAATATTTTTCCTCTTTAAAACATATTTATTATTTTCTTAAATATTGAGCCTCACAGTTTATCTGTTGGCAAAGACATGCCACTTTTCACATTGGTGTAATAAGAGTCCCAGCCCACTTGGACATGTCTCCTGGGGACTGGCATCAGTGGTGGGGACTGACAAATGAGGGAACCAAGGCTCATCTAAAGGGGATTGCTACCATTGGGCCCTGTGGCCAAAGCCCTGTTTTTCCAGAGAAGCTGTTAATCTGGATTTTTTTGCGGAATAACCAATCACCTGTTTTTGAAAAACAACTTGCAGTCCAAATCAAATATATCTGTAGGCTGAATATAGTTTGCAGCTTCCTGTTTGCAACTTCTGGTCCGCATCAGCAAGTAGTAACTACAGTTACAGCTATTTTCTCTAATTTTTCTGGATAACTTGTAGAAAATAGGAGATGATTTTTCCATAAAAAGTCAGTGGCCCATGATTCCAGTTTATAAAACTTCTAATGTTTTTCTGTACAAATGTTTTTAATTCCACAAGTGCTTATTATTAGGCCCCATGCTAGAGCCTGGATTATATCAAATTCTATAAAATAGACAAGCTCTCTCAACCTTAATATAAGTATGTTACAGCATCTTTATATGGGGTGGGCTTGATAAAAAATAAAATTGTTTCATAAAAATAAAATAGATGAAGTTGCTAGCTGAACGCTTTTACATCTGAAAACTTGGTATGCATGTCTGTCTTATACAAATACTGGCCACCCTACAGATCGAGTTTGAGGAGCACCTATATAAAAAAGAAGGGAGAAAGGAAGAAAATTACTTTCTAGTTTCATCTCACTTATGAAAATCCCATTCAACATGGATTGTTATTTAACAAAAAACTAAATAGGCAAGATCAAGCTATAAAAGAGAGTCGTGAAATGTTAAGCTGTCCACAGATTTTTGTTGTCTTCTTTGAAGAGGAAAGGATGCGATTACCAGAAGGATACTATTTGTCTTTCAAGGCTACTTAATCTATACAGATTGTGAGTAAATATATCAACAGGCTTTTTCACCAATTTTTTGTTTGTTTGTTTGTTTGTTTAACATGAATTTGCTTCAGCTACCTCTGGACCCCAACACTGATTCTAAGACAAAAATCATGGAATCGATTTTTTAAAAATAATGTAACAATGTTATAGGTGATGCTCATTTTTATAGAATTATGTGTTCCATACACTTGTGACTCTCTCTTTTTGCTATTAAATGGCTGTGGCCAAAACCACATAAATTGTTTGAGTGCTGCATTATACAAACTAGTAGACAATTTATGAAACTGTGTATAGCGAGGTCATCTTTTCCATTCAGATTAGGCAGGATTTCTGCAACTATATCCAACTGTACTGTTTTATAATCTATAAAGGGAGAGATTCAAAATATCTTTCAAAATTCTTATACTTATTTATGTAATTAAAAAAAAGGCCTCCTTAGCACTTCTTTAAAGGACCTGACACTATAGCGCCGCCAAGTGGCCTTTTAAAAATTAGTCTTAAAATTTTAAATCAGATACTTTTTGGAGCTATCTTTTGTTTTACTAGTAATTTATTTTATTATTCAAAAGGTATTTTTGAATACCTATGTGCAAAAAAAGGTATTCGTTATTGCATTTATGTAAAAAGCAGCAAAAAATAGTCTTCACTGTTGTTTTAGGCCACATTTGTTTTCTTAATTATATCAATGTAATTTTAGCTCCGTTAAAATATTTAAGTAGCTTCCCTTAAAGATGTTGTTATTTCAGGATATATATATATACACATACACACACACACACACACACGCATATATATTTTTGAGACGGAGTTTCGCTCTTGTCACCCAGGCTGGAGTGCAACAGTGGGATCTTGGCTCACTGCAACCTCCGCCTCCTGGGTTCAAGCGATTCTCCTGCCTCAGCCTCCTGAGTACAGTTGCATGCCACCACGCCCCGCTGATTTTTGTATTTTTAGTAGAGACAGGGTTTCACCATGTTGGCCAGGATAGTCTCCATCTCCTGACCTGGTGATCCACCCACCTCAGCCTCCCAAAGTCCTGGGATTACAATAAGGCGCGGGCCACCGTGCTGGGCTTATTGCCTCACTTCTTAATGAAAAAAATTGTATTTCATTGTTGCTTGCTTACTTTTTCCATAGTACTATTGTATTTTATACTCAATATCAGATGTGGAAAAAGACATTAAAGGCATTAAAAAAAGACATTAGGCAAAGCCTGTTAATTTATGTGCTTGATCTTTATCTTCATTACTGCCGTAATTTACCCATTGGTGTGCCTTAGTGTATAACTTCATTTAGCTGTTTGAAGACATTTCTTGATTTTATCTTCTTAGATGAACTTTGTTAGAAGTATCAGAATTCCATTGCATCGATAATACATGTTTACATACATATTTCTAATTAATAGTTCACCTAACCCTTTTAAAAACAGATATACACAGGAGTAGGGAGAGGCTATGCCATGAGCTGCATTTAGAAGCAGTGTTTCTAAGCTGTTACTGTCATTTTGACTTGTCTGTCCCTCCGAACTGAACCACTAACAGCTTGACAGGATTCAGTTGAAGATGAACAGGTGTTAAATTTTTTCACGGATACTGTTTCTTTTCCACTTAGTGTTTCCTCTACGAGGAGCTAACTGTGTCAAAAAACAGAATTTTGATTGGTGAGGGGGGAAAAATGAAGTTTGGAATAATAAAATAAATGCCTGTTCGAAATGTAACCTTCAGGTATTTCACAGTGTTGCTTATCAATGGAAGTTATTTTTTGTGGCCTTTGTAGAATCAGTTATAAAATTACCGACTTGGATATTTTAATGACTTCTTCTTGTAATTGTTTTTGCAATTTTATATTTTCAGGAAGTTGTATGCCAGTTCTGAAGCAGTTTATTAAAATTTGCCCAAGAGTAAATTCTATCACAAGTAAATCTCTTTGGAAACACTACTATTATGTTGTTACTTTATTGTCACAAGTCTCAGTAGTTGTGAAAGAGCAACCTTGGAAGTTAAGGGATTGAAGCAAAGCAGATTTCCTGACAGAATAAAAATCAGTATCCGAATACTATTCAAATTTCCTAACACTTAATTTTTATTTATGGAATTAAGTTACCATATAGATGAAAGAATAAGTTATACATATATATAGACAAATTTGATGGACTAGATTACATATTTAACGGCGTCCACTTCAAGAGTAAAGATTTATCAATTGTTAAAAATTTTTAAAATTTTCCTTAAAATGTTTTAGCCTAATAGTATATTACATGTTAGTGCTATCATTTATTTTTATGTGCATCATCTTTTAATACTAGAAGCTCCTTCAAAAAAACCTGATTATAAAATCATCCTTTTAAATTGTCTTTTTTTTATATAGAAAAAGTTACGTCGATCACAACACGCTCGCAAAGAAACAGAGTTCTTACGGCTCAAAAGGACCAGACTTGGCTTGGATGACTTTGAGTCTCTGAAAGTTATAGGAAGAGGAGCTTTTGGAGAGGTGTGCTTCTTTTTAAAAGTCATTACTGCTACAAATATGTATCTTAAGATAATTTAAAATGTGTGTTAAAATATTAACACACATTTTAATGTAATGTGTGTTACATTACACATTACATTAATGTGTAATCTCAACCCTTTGGGAGGCTGAGGTGGGTGGATCACCTGAGGTCAGGAGTTTGAGGCCGGCCTGGCCAGTGAAACCTTGTCTCTACTGAAAATACAAAAAGTACTTAGGCGTGGTGGTGGGTGCCTGTAATCCCAGCTACTTGGGAGGCTGAGGCAGGAGAATCACTGGAACCCAGGAGGCAGAAGTTGCAGTCAGCTGAGATCCCACCATTGCACTCCATCCTGGGCGACATGAGTGAAACTCCGTCTCAAAAAATATATATATGTATTTCTTGAAATGCCAACACTGGCAAATTCCTGCTTTCTTTAAGGGAAGCTGCTTTTCATTACTGAACAAATAGTAGTGACTATGTAACATTTATAATATATGTTTTTATATTTTAGGTGCGGTTGGTCCAGAAGAAAGATACAGGCCATATCTATGCAATGAAGATATTGAGAAAGGCTGATATGCTTGAAAAAGAGCAGGTATGAGTTCTTTAACACATGTAATATAAAGGAGCATCCACTGACGAGGTGTTAAGAGTGTTTATATTAGAATTTTTAAGAAGCAATTTACACATCTTACTACATAAGTTATTAACTTTTTGGTAGCCTGTTTTAGTGTTTCTCAATTCTTTTAAGGTTTCTTCCAAGTTTAAAATCTATGTATTAGTCTACTTAGACTTCCATAACAGAACACAACAGGCTGATTAGCTTAAACAACAGAAACTTATTTTCTCACAGTTTTGGAGGCTACAAGTCAAAAATGAAAGTTCGGGCAGGTTTTGGTTTCTGGTGAGGCCTCTCTTCCTGGCTTGCAGATGGCCACCTTTCACTAAGTTTTCACATGGCCTTTCCTTGGTGTGTGCGGGGACACACACTCCTGTGAGAACTCTCTGGTGTCTCTTCTTATAAGGACACTAATTCCACCCTTATGACCTCATTTAACCTTAATTAATTCCCTAAGGGTCCATCTCCAAATACAGGCTCAATGGAGATTAAAGCTTTACTCTGTGAATTTTGTAGATGCACGAACATTCAGTCCGTACCTTCTGAAATACCTTCTTTTCTGACTACAGTGAAAATAAAGGACAGTTCTTGGCTACCAGAATCCCTATCACATATCAGATAATCAAAACTAGTCTCCTGGAAATTTGCTGATTTTACATATTTCTAAAATCTGTAACTTTATAAATATTCTGGGCTCTCTCCATGTTTCCTGTGCCTTAATGCAGTTACAGGGGGTGTCTTCGAGTAAAGGAGTGATGGCTTTTTGAAGATTTAAGGAGGGAAATTGTGAAATGGTCATTTTCAGGTGTGGGAGAGCAGACCTGCTAAAGAAATGCAATTGAAGGCTCATTGAGATTTGCAGTCCTGAATTTAAAGTGAAACCCATTGGCATAGTTGGGTGATTTTTCACCGTAGTTTCAGTTAGGGTAGGAAGGTAATAGGAACTATCTGGAGACAGGGTTATAGGGGATTTTGTTGATGACAGGCTATGATTCTCCAGAGGGAAGAGGTTTGGAAGGCAAGGAAGGTTGAGATATGAGTTGGATTAGAGAACTGTAGATAATGATGGGAATAAGGATGTGGGTAAAGATGCATAGGCTCAGAGACAAGGAGGTTAACAGGAATCTAACTTAGCCATAATGGGATTAGTCCTACTAGGGTATAATAGGAAGGACAGAAGGAAGCAGTTAGTTCCAGCTGTAGTGTAGATACCAGCTACATGTGGCTGCTGGACACAAATTGAGATATCTAGCAAATAAGACTTGGTGCAAAAAAAAAAAAAAACCCATAAAATATTTCAATGATTTTTATATTGATTACATACTGAAGTGATAATATTTGGATATATTAGGTTATATAAACTATATTATTAAAAATAATTTCACTCCGTATGTGGCTTCTAGAAAATTAAAAAATTACATATATGACTTGCGTTACATCTGTACTGGACAACCCTTGGTCTAGAACTATTTTGTGGGAAGTTAAGGAGCCTCTGGACCACTGCTCTTTCCTGTGGGGAGGTGGGGGGCGGAAATCTCACTGTAGCCCAACGTTTAGTTGCTTTTGCATTTTGGGGTTTTTACCCCTGTATAAATTAATTTGCATTTGTTACCACTGAATTTTGTCTTAGAAAGCTTTTTTCTACTTAGTTCTAATACAGCAGTATTTTAACTTTTATCACATTTATTTTAATGCAAACCACCCCCGCAAAATTAAGTAGCAACTGATCTCCCCACTATTGTTGTACCAGATTATCACAGGTCATACTTTCCAACCTTTGCATCCTGTTTTGGAAAGAGATCCTGTAATTTGGCTTTAAACCATTTAACAATAATCAAGTCATATTTATGTTGTAGCTGTTTTCCTTACACACCAGATGCAACACCAAAGTTTAGGGCTTTTCCTTACCACCTTAAATTGCTTCATGAAAGGTAATAGTGAGGCACTCTTGCTACCACTTTTCACTTAATGAAACAGATCCACAGAAATTATAAAGTATTTTCATGCCAGAAAACAAGTTCTTACTCCTCAACTCTTATGCTTTGATCTCAGAATATTTACTGCACTAGGAGTAATTCCAAATATGACACTTTAAGCAGATCATATTTTATTATCATAAAACGGTTTACAAATGTATGTTCTCATGTGCTTTGGACCAGAGTTTATAATGTTTCACAGTGAAAATAGCAAAAGTATAAATCAGATCTTATTATTAACCTTTGGAAAAAGTGTGTAAATATATTAATGCAAAAGCTTCTGCAAACTGACCAGTTATACCAACCCCATAAATTATCCAGTTTATAAAATTTTCTAGTCTATAACATTTTCACATAATAGTATCTCTAGTAATTATGTGTCCGAGAAATCAGTGGCAAAATCCCCAAAAGTTACACGAATTTGCTGTAGCTAACATTTATAGATACGATAGAGGTTTTATGTTATAATACTAAATATAATATAAAGTTACTATAATTGTCACTATTTCTTAAAAAAACACCAAATAATGATCAAGCTGGGACCTTTAACAATTAAAAATAGTGTGCTATTTTTTGCCAACCTTGGCTTTGCTATACCAATTTACAGGGCATTGCTTACTCCTTTTTTTTTTTTTTTTTTGAGATGGAGTCTCATTCTATCACCAGGCTGGAGTGCAGTGACGCGATCTCAGCTCACTGCATCCTCTGCCTACCAGGTTCAAGTGATTCTCCTGCCTCAGCCTCCCGAGTAGCTGGGACTACAGGCGCGTGCCACCACGCCCGGCTAATTTTTTGTATTTTTAGTAGAGATGGGGTTTCATCATTTTAGCCAGGATGGTCTCAATCTCTTGACCTCGTGATCCGCCCGCCTTGGCCTCCCAAGTGCTGGGATTAACAGGCGTGAGCCGCTGTGCCCAGCCCAGCTTACTACTTTTAACTTTAAAAGTCACACTATGACTTTTATATGACAAAGCCAGGATCCTAGGCTGGGTAGAGATTCTGGTTAAAAAGTTGTTAGAATGATTCTTGCTCTACCTCAGAGGCCTTAGCCTCACATAATATACCTGTGGACCTCACCTTTTTAGACCTAAAGATACAAGCTAAAATAAACTATTTCTTGAGGTTCTCTATATTTGATGAGAATATGATCATTCATATATGTATCAAATCTTCTGAAATTCCATCTTTTCTTCATTAACTGTTATGGATGGATAAGTGTAAGAGATGAGTTTGACAAATGTGTGATGTGCTTACGATTTTTTTTTTCAAAAATATATTCATCTAGGTGGCCCATATCCGAGCAGAAAGAGATATTTTGGTAGAAGCAGATGGCGCCTGGGTGGTGAAGATGTTTTACAGTTTTCAGGATAAGAGGAATCTTTATCTAATCATGGAATTTCTCCCTGGAGGTAAAAGGAAACATTGTATCAATGACAGACTGATACAAGCACATCTTTATATGCAATAATAATTTTATTGGTGAGGTTTACTTTTATATTCCTTGCTCTGAGGCTTTACAGTGTCATAGTTTAAAAATATTTACTACCATATTGATGCTCATTTTTACCACAAACAGATTGTCTTAAAGGAATGATAAAGTTAGCACATTTTAAATATGACCGTTCTGGGTTCACTGATTGTTAGTGAAGTTACATTAGTTTATTTTGTGTTGTTACAAAAAAAATACCTGAGACTGTGTAATTTATAAAGAAAACAGGTTTAATCATTGCTCAGCAAAGAGGGCAAGGGGAAAAGAATGGCAATGGAGGGCAAAGAATACTTGCTTTTTTGTTTTGTTTTGTTTTTAATTTTAATTTTTTGAGATGAAGTCTCGCTCTGTTGCCTAGGCTGGAGTGCATTGGTATGATTTTGGCGCACTGCAACCTCTGCCTCCCTGGTTCAAGCGATTCTCCTGCCTCAGCCTCCTGAGTAGCTGGGATTACAGGCGCCTGCCACCATGCCCAGCTAATTTTTTTGTATTTAGTCGAGACGAGGTTTCACCATATTGGCCAGGCTGGTCTCGAACTCCTGACCTCAAGTGATCCACCCACCTCAGCCTTCCAAAGTGTTGGGAATACAGGTGTGAGCCACTGCCCCCACCCCCCTATTTTTTTTTAAGCCTCAAAAAACATATGAAAAAAATGTAATCAGTTGTCAATTCTGTGTTGTAAGTGCACCAGTGTTTACAACAGTTAAAACTGTTAAAACTTTTAAAATTCCTTGAAAATAAAAGAATGTCTGCAGGTGCCTTTTTTTAGTGGGATAATGTCCCACTAAATGCCAAAAGAATATATTTGGTTTCCAGGCGCACTATTCTGATTTTTTTGCAGTTTGACATTTTCCTCAGCAGTTAGTTGAGTGGTATATATTATTTCATTATCAGCTCTTTCGTGATTTGATTTCACATGGCGTCTGCCTTAAAACCATTAAAAGTCATGAAATTTCTGCTTATACAATGGCACTTTTATTTGGCCCAAGATATGGTTAGAAATATACTGGGTAGATCATAAAATGCAAACTCAGGAAAGCTAGCTGGGCATGGTGGCTCATGCCTGTAATCCCAGTACTTTGGGATGCTGAGGCAGGCAGATAGCTTGAAACCAGGAGTTTGAGACCAACCTGGCCAACATGGCAAAACCCCGTCTGTACTAAAAATACAAAAATTAGCTGGGTGTGGTGGCACACACGTGTAATCCCAGCTACCTAGGTGGCTGAGGCACGAAAACTGTTTGAACCCAGGAGGTGGAGGTTGCAGTGAGCCATGATCACACCACTGCACTCCAACCTGGGCAACAGAGTGAGACTGTCTCAAAAAAAAAAAAAAAAAAATTCAGGAAAGCTTTTACAAGGTATTCCACCTTTAAGACATTTTCAATAATAATATATTTGACTTCCCTTTATTTAGGTGACATGATGACATTGCTAATGAAGAAAGACACCTTGACAGAAGAGGAGACACAGTTCTACATTTCAGAGACTGTTCTGGCAATAGATGCGATCCACCAGTTGGGTTTCATCCATCGGGATATTAAGCCAGACAACCTTTTATTGGATGCCAAGGCATGTGAATAAACTGGTGAATTACTAGGCTGTTGATTATTTTTTTAGAGCAGTAGAGCTGATTTCGTGAGTGGATATCAGCAACTGCAATTTAGAATATTGCTAAACAACATTATTTTGTATAATAAGGTACTAGGAGACAACTTGAGAATGAAATGACAACAGGGAATATGGCTCTCTTTTTATCTCCCTCCATTTTCTACTTTTAAAAATCATCATCAGATACTTATAATTTTACATTTTACTTGTATAAATCCCAAGCTAAGAACTGTTATAACAATTGGCATTTAACAGAGGAGTTTATAACAAGGCTTTTTGTTTTCAAAGTTAATATAATCTAATTTTACTGGATTTTTTTTAGGGTCATGTAAAATTATCTGATTTTGGTTTGTGTACGGGATTAAAGAAAGCTCACAGGACTGAATTTTATAGAAATCTCACACACAACCCACCAAGTGACTTCTGTAAGTTTGGTTTTGTTTGTTTGTTTTGTTTTTTTCCCTGGTTAAGATACTGTAGAGAACGGAAGGTTCTTTCCCTTTCCCCACTCCTTAATCCACTGTGTTTTAGATGTATATGTGTGATTTTGTTTTTGTGGAGAGCATTTTTCTCTCGTGATTACAATTCCATATTGTTGAAATTAGCATTTCAGAACATGAACTCAAAGAGGAAAGCAGAAACTTGGAAGAAGAATAGGAGACAACTGGTGAGTCAACCAGTTTTTAAGAAAGAATTTTGTGCCTTGGTTCTAAAATCTTAACTGATTTTAACTTGATTATTTGTGTCTTTATAATAATTAGTATTCACTTCGTAACAATGATAGCGCTTGTTTTGGAATCACACAGTTTTCTTAGTTTCTCTGTTAAGTTTCCTTGCCTGTAAAGCAAAGTGTTGGTTTTTACTTTATAACTTTAGAGTACTTGACTGAGCATACCTATGAGTAAGCTGTTTACTAGTAATTAGCACTTTAAATAAAACTCACTGAGGTGAATGCAATTGTAATGAATGCCTTGTGATTTCCATTTTTCATACCTGTGTTATAAATCCTGATACAACAAATATCAATCAGCAAGTAAAGTGGTTGTGAGTTTCTAAGAACTTCATAGACAAAGTAAACAGGAAGTTTGAGATGTAAACAGTGTTACAATAAAACAGATAAAATTTGAAAAAGCTGGCTTTGCCACAGATAAATTTAATTACCCCTATAATATAGAATTACATGATTTTTCACCCTATACTATTTCCTCTCTGTAACTGAGCAGATAGAAGAATTGTTTCCCCTTCCTCCTCTTTCCCTTTGTCCTGTTAACATGGTCCATGAACTGTCTACAGATTAAGAATGTGCCTTTGGATTTTGTTTTCCTCATTTCTTATAAAATGCCTGGCACATACAGACACTCTGTAAATATTTGTTCAACCAAGTGATGAAAGGAAAACTCACCATTCCCTTAGGAAAGTCAATAAACTGAAAAATAACAGGCTAATACCCTCTAAAACCAAATAAAATAACCTTTGCATTATTGAGTTTATTATATCATTAACGTAAGTAACTGCAAACTTCCTATGCTTGTAAAAACATTTCAGTATTTTTAAATGTATTCAGTTACACATTAAGGAGAGACACTTTGTTTTACTTTTAAAATGTGTCAGTTTTAGATTAGGTTTTGCGATTGAGAATAATTGCAATATTCCCTATTTTTAAAGGGGAAAAACTGAATACTGCTTAAAATTATGGTGGGGGAATTCTGTACCCCCGCCATTTACAAAACATTCATAGGTGATTACTCAGGTGTGTGTTTTTTTATTCTCATGGCCAGTAGTTGCCAAGCCTTAGATCAAGTGTTTCCCAAGGGAGAAGTGGAGAGGACTCAGTGTTTGGGGCAGGAAATTTCTTTAGCACTTGGATCCCCTGCCCTCTAAATGCCAGTCATGTCACTGAGATGACAAAATCTGCAGTCATACATTTTGCCATGGCCCCAAGAGTACTACCCCTAGTTGACAATTACTGCCTTGTAGAAATCACTTTTGTAAGATTTTATATGAATTAAGAATTAAAAACTGCATAGCTTCCTAATAGATAAGCAGTACCCTGGAACTACATTTATAATGAAAATACCTCATGCTTATTTTTATAGTTGGTAGCGTACAAAACACATCCGTTTATCATTTCATCTTCCTATCAACTCTATTAAGGCAGGTATTATTATTCCAGTTTTATGTAAGCAGAAGCTGAGCCTCAGAGAAATTAAATAATTTGCCCAAGAACACATTAGTAGTGAGTGGGGAAGCCAGGTCTTCTAGGTTCAACTTTTTCATTCTTTTTGAAATAGACTGAAGGCTATATATAAAAAAACTTCATTGAGCTTCTTGTGGGGGCAGAAATAATATATTCTTTTAAAATGCCTGGCACATATGGACACTCTATAAATATTTGTTCAACCAAGTGGGGAAAGGAAAACTAATTCAGCGTTCCCTCAGGAAAGTCAACAGACTGAAAAATAATAGGCTATAACATATTATCTGACTCACTACCTACCACTAAGCCTTGCACATGATTAACATGCAAAATAAATATAAGTGAAAATTTAATCCTCTATATATTGCTTTTTCTAGTACTAAGCCATCCTCAGATAGATAGTTTTTAAATGTTAAGAATGCTGGTTTGACAAGCTGCTCCTTTGTAGGCATATTCCACAGTTGGGACACCAGATTACATTGCTCCAGAAGTATTCATGCAGACTGGTTACAACAAATTGTGTGACTGGTGGTCTTTGGGAGTGATTATGTATGAAATGCTAATAGGTATGTTTTATCATTCATTTATGTACAAAACATGTATATTTCCTTGAGTGCCACTGTTTGAATATATTACAGATATCATTGACTAAAATATTTGAGGTCTTTTAAACTTAATTCTGATGTTCCCCCAACGTTAAATACATACTGATCAATACCAGTGAGCTCTCCAGGGATCCTGTTTCAGGAAGGTGGGTATTTAACCCAGACTCCCACGTATAAAAGTGGTTATCTTCATAGCTTTTCAGGTAAAAGGGGAGGCAGTGCTTTAAATCCTTTATTTTATTGACTTTATTAGCAATGTTATTGTAAATTGATGAATGGTGGCATTTTTGACTATTAAATAGGCACTCAGGGTTGTTTGGTTTCTTGTAGCACATGTTTGGTGGGTATAACTTCACTGATCACAAAGCTGATGAAACGTTTTTTATTTATTTGATACCTAGGATATCCACCTTTCTGCTCTGAAACACCTCAAGAAACATACAGAAAAGTGATGAACTGGAAAGAAACTCTGGTATTTCCTCCAGAGGTACCTATATCTGAGAAAGCCAAGGACTTAATTCTCAGGTTAGTGGTTAAATTCCTAGAGGAGTTCACAGTGTCTTAAAATTTCCTAAGAACCTAAAAGACTCATTTCACTTTTGTGGGGGAAGAGGGGATGTATACACTGATGTATACAGTCAAAGAGATCAATAAAGGTGTTTTTAAAAATGTAAACTCTTAAAAGGAAGTATGTGGAAAAAAAATTAGGAATTAAAAAGAGGGAGGAGGTCTTGTATTGCTTCAGTTACTGATATATATAAAAGCAGAAGGTCACTTCTGTTAGAATGCAATGATCTGATTCCATTAAAGAGAAGAGGGAAAATGTTAATAGCAGATTCCTGTCATGAAAAGTATATATGTGAAATCTTCTAAGCAAAAAATTCCATGTGTTCCTCAATTAATATGAAGTGTTTGGTACTGCTGTGAATGGCTGGAAGGAATATAAATTGGAACAACTTGTGGGAATAGCAGTTGGCAGCATATTATTTTTTTAAAATCCCTAAACTATATATGACCTTTGACCCAGAAGTTCGAGGGATTTCGCTTATGCAGATAATCAGATATGTATAAAGATTTAAGTACAATATGTTTATCATGGTATTTAATAGTGAAAATTGAAAACTATTTAAATGTTCAACAACAGTGGACTGGCTGAATAGTAGACTGGCTATATTTCTATTTGTAAGTTTTAGAAAACAAATTTATTGGCCGGGCACAGGGGCTCACACCTGTAATCCCGGCACTTTGGGAGGCGGAGGTGGGAAGACCATGAGGTCAGGAGATTGAGACCGTCCTGGCTAACACAGTGAAATCCCATCTACTAAAAATACAAAAAATTAGCCGGGCGTGGTGGCGGGCGCCTATAGTCCCAGCTACTCGGGAGGCTGAGGCAGGAGAATGGTGTGAACCTGGGAGGTGGGACTTGCAGTGAGCCAAGATCGCGCCACTGCATTGGAGCCTGGGCGGCAGAGTGAGACTCTGTCTCACAAAAAAAAAAAAAAATTCTTGAAAAATATTTAATGACTTTGGCAAATTTTCTCAGTATATCAAGTGAAAAAAAGTAGACCTAACATAGTAACCATGGTAGCAACATAGTATTTTAAATATTGTAAAAGATTAGATTAGAATATTTACAGTAGTTATTGCTAAATAATGCGCTTACAGATGATTTTTGCTTTCTTCCACATTTCCTACAATAAACGTAGTTAACATCAATAAAAGAAAAACATATTGCTTTAAAAAAGAAATATTTGAAGTAATGCAGCTAGAATACTTTAGATGTAACTTTTGTATGATAATTTCTCTGCTTCCATGTTGTAGATTTTGTATTGATTCTGAAAACAGAATTGGAAATAGTGGAGTAGAAGAAATAAAAGGTCATCCCTTTTTTGAAGGTGTCGACTGGGAGCACATAAGGTATGTTCCTACGCTTTGAATGGGAAAGGTCTGAGTGAAAACAAATTGCTAGAGTTGACAATTAATTTACCTCTGATTCTGCTAGATTAAATACAAAAGTCACATATAATGTCATTGCTGCAGTGTTTTCTGGATTATGTAAGTGAGTGGGACTATTGTGGCTACAGCCCAATGACTCATTTTAGGCTAACATCCACTTTCAGGGAAGAACATTGGGCACCTTTTTAAATTCTTACGTTCATACTCACAGTGAAGGCTGTTAGCACATGAAAGATGTATTTACATTTCACACAGTGACCCCTCATTTTTGTGCTTGCTGTAATATAGCACATAGTGTCTCCTTAATTAATTTATAAGAAGGTACCCTCTTTAAACATTGGTTGGGCATTATACAAGTAACTTAAGAATTTGCTTACAGTTGTTCATTGTGAGCATTGGCTTTTTTTCAGTTTATGGCCAAACTACCGTCAGTAGGTTTGATCTGTTCTCCACACAGCAACAGTTTAGAAGCATAAATCTGGCCATGCCACTTTGCTGCATCCTTTTGCACTTGGAATACAGTTAAGAAGCCTTCACTGCTTTCTTAGGACTGCAGGATATAGCGCTTGCCTCATCTGCAGAAGTTGCATCTTGGATGGCCTTTCCTCCTCCTCTTCCCACCTCTAAGTTTTGCCATTTGCTATTCATCCTGACTGAAATGCCCTTTCCCTGCTGCCTCTACCCCTACCCTGCCTAGCTGGCTCCTTTGCATCTTCCAAGATAGCTTATGTGTCATTTCCTTGGTATAGCTCTTCACTGGAGAACCTGCTGTGTGCTAGGCATTCTGCCTATTACTATTAACTTATTTTTTTGAGACAGGGTCTCTCACTCTGTCGCCCAGGCTGGAGTGCTGTGGCATGATCATGGCTTACCGCAGCCTTGACCTCCCAGCCTCAAATGATCCCCCCACCTCAGCCCCCCAAGTAGCTGGAACTATAGGCACGTGCCACCACACCCAGCTAATTTTGTTGCTTTTTTTTTTTTTTTTTGTAGAGATGGGGTTTCACTATGTTGCCCAATTGCTCAGGCTGGTCTTGAACTCCTGAGCTCAAGCGATCCACCTGCCTTGGCCTCCCAAAGTGCTGGGATTACAGGCGCCCAGCCCACTCTGCCTATTGTAATAATAGCTAATGTTTAAAAATCATTTATTGTGTCCAGCACTGTTTTAAGTACTTTACTTGCATTTCTCATCTTATCTTCATATAAGCTCTATAAAATAGGAACTGTTATTATCCCTGTTTTACAAGTGAGGAAACTAAGGCACAGAGAAGTTATAGTGCCGCAGTGTGGAGGCCTCTTAAACCACTATGCTGTATAATACTATACACACACAACTTAATTCAATAGAACTATGATACCCCCCATTTTACAGTGGGAAGGATGCTTAGAGACTGTCAGTTCTTTTGGTTTTATAAGGTGGGAACAGTCATGGAGCAGGGACTTGGCTGCCTAAGGTCATACTGCTAGTTAATAACAAGGAAGGTCAGCTCTCAGGCCTCCAGGGTTCTTTCCTCTAAACTAGGTTTATTAAAGTAGTATACTAAGTATAAACGAGTTGGAATAATTCAGGTAAAAAATATATATGGTTTTACATAATTTGGTAAACTTAGCACCTAATAAATCCAATAAATATTTGTTGAAAAAACAGAAGCAATAAAAACTGATAGCTTCTTTTGACCATTTCTGTAGTTAAACTTTTTAGCATGATAAGAAGGCATTATCTTGACTGATTTCTTTTTAACTGAGTATCTTTGATTCTCTTAAAATTTATATGACAGAAATTTTTGCATGCGGATTTCATCACAAATATATAGTTCCTTCACCTATGTGCCCCTTATTTTCCCAAATGACATTTTATGGATTGTCTACTAGTAGAATTCTATTCCTAAATCAATTAAGAAGGATCCCGTCCTCATAATATCTCACATACTTTATATAATTATACAATCTTTTAAATAAAACCTCTTCTTTTACTTTTCATTAGCTCATTTTTCCTCTTAAAAAAATAGTATGAGAAAGGCTTGGTACAGAGATATAAAAATGACAAGTAGGTGGGGATGCTTAATGGGTACAAAAAGAAAACAGAATGAATAAGACCTACTACTTAATAGACAAGAGGGTGACTATAGTCAATAATAATTGTAAATTTAAAAATAACTTAGAATGTAATTGGATTGTTTGTGACTCAAAAGATAAATGCTTGAGGGGATGGACCCCCCATTCTGCATGATGTGCTTATTACCCATTTCATGCCAGTATTAAAACATCTCGTGGACCCTATAAATATATATACCTACAACATAACCACAAAAATTTAAAAAAAAATTTAAATTCTAAGTAAATGAAAACATTTTAATAAAAAATTATACTCAGCTATTTTGAACTCCCTTTATTCTCAAATCCACAATAAATTTCCTTGGCTTTTCTAATATCTATAAAATGGTATGCAGAATTTACAAGTAGAATTATTTGTTGGAAATTGAGAATTCATGCCTACTCATACCTTTTTATAGGGAAAGGCCAGCAGCAATCCCCATAGAAATCAAAAGCATTGATGATACTTCAAATTTTGATGACTTCCCTGAATCTGATATTTTACAACCAGGTAAGACAATCTATAATGTAACTACCACTATTAAAAGTCTGTGAAGATGATGGCATTTCACTAATGAAATTCCTTTAATTTTTCTCTTTCTAGTGCCAAATACCACAGAACCGGACTACAAATCCAAAGACTGGGTTTTTCTCAATTATACCTATAAAAGGTTTGAAGGGTTGACTCAACGTGGCTCTATTCCCACCTACATGAAAGCTGGGAAATTATGAATGAAGATAACATTCACCCACAACCAAGAGAACTCAGGTAGCTGCATCACCAGGCTTGCTTGGCGTAGATAACAATACACTGAAATACTCCTGAAGACGGTGGTGCTTATTGACTACAAGAGGAAATTCTACAGGATTAGGATTTCTGAGACTACTACAGGAATTGGTTGGCAGTGCCAGCTGGCTCTTTTTTTTTTAATATTTTATTATTTTTGTTAACTTTATTATACGAAGGTACTGGAATAAAAGGAACGGACATCCCTTTCTAACTGCACTGCCTACATGCGTCTTAAGGTCCATTCTGCCTGTGTGTGCTGTGGCTTTGAACTGTAACACCTCTAATTAATTCAGGAGAAACACATATCATTTAAAGCAACATAGGCTAACCTGTAGGTAACACTGCAGTATTGATGTTTTACTGCAAATCTTATGGGTCTAGATAATCAGTAAAAGCCATCTTCCATAGTTGGTGTTAGAACATTGCCCTATTGGTTTGGACATCTGTAGAATATATATGAAGACAATTTCTGTGATGGTTTTAAGAGATTTAAAAAGAAATTCACTGGTTCTTTAAAAAATAGAATTTATCATCAAGTTATTACACAAACTCCACAGTAAGGAGTGACAAGTTTATAATAAGGAAGAGAAAGTTTAACACCTTCACTCAAGCACTCCACTAATATATTTACGTTGCATTCAGAAATACTGATGACCTTTATATACGTAGTCTGTATACTCATAGGGAGATGTACTGTATTATATAACATGTAAAGTTGATTTTCTTGTGACAAGAGGACTTCTTTTTTTAACAAGAGGACATGGCATTATTTTAATTTGATTATGGTGAGTTGAAATTAAGAAATGACCATGAAGGCTGCTTGTAGAATTAGTGTATTTTTATTAAACTATTTTTTTAAATGTCAAACTTCTATCATGTAAATGGACTTGCAGAGAACAAAAAGCTATTTACTTTGGTTTTCTAGAAAGTTGTTACATATCATGGCTGGTTAACTTTTATTTCTTTTGATGAAAATTTTTCCTTTGATAGTACTTGTATTATTGTGCCATTATTTTCTTATGCTCCAAATGTACCAAAGATCTTGAACAGAATGGATGTTCACAACTGAGTAGAATTTTCCTTTCCTGTGGGCGTGGTGTATTCAGACCTGACAGATCTTTGATAGAGGTCAGCTTATTAAAGGGCAATATTGTTCATGTTTAGTTACATCACTGTGGTGAATATAGATGGAATTAAGGAAGTAAATGCAGGCCAGGGGGTTGTGATGAGAGGAGAGAGAATATCAGCATCAAATTCTTTGGGTATCTCCCTAAGAATTAAATAATCTTTTCTAGCTTAATATTTTAATTCTAATTCAAACAACTCTCTGAGGTTTTGGTTTCATTAGTAGTAGCTGAGGAATAATATGCTAGCAAAGAACGGCCTAATGTTTGTCTTAACTGTTAATGGATGAAATTTTTTAAAGATACAACCATGATAACCATTATAAATGATCTGTGATCAAAATCTAACGTGATGAATTATTTGTAGGAATGTCTTCCTATTGGGGAAGGATTGCATAGGAGCATTATGCAAATCTACAAAAGCTTTTATAAATGTTGCTGCTAGGTAGCTCCACAGTGTTTTCAAAAGACCATCCTGCTTCCCCGAACTCTCCCATTTTTGGTTTGTTTCTTTTTAAATATTTGTTGAGTACTTACGTGTTTATCTAACAGTTCACTTCCATTTTTTCTAGTCTGGATTTTTTGAGTATTTAGGGGAGAGAGCTATTAAAAACTCTGTGGATTTCTCAATTTGACTAACTCTAATTTTTCTAATTATAACTGCCTTTAATTAAATAATACTAACTTTTGCTGAGGTTTATGAGATTTTCTCGCCCCACATCACTCCCCTTTTTAAAAAAAGGACTGTTTTGCTAGTGTGATAATGAATAGGTAAGATATGAAATAATTGCAACATTGTCTAGTTCCAGTATGGTAACTATTCTTGAAATGGTACTGAAAAATACCATTAATTCAAATTGACAGAGATTGATAAAAAGAAACTGATTTACCTAAGTTTACTTTTTAATTGCATAATAGAGCATTTTTTTTGTTTTGAGTTCCCTCATTCTTATTACGAGAAAGAGCTTGCAAATAGTTTTACTTTCTTGGCACTGGAAGGGTAGTTCTGGAAAGCTACTTTGTTGAGAGTCTCATTCTTCCCTGGAGTTAATAGAGTGATTCACAATCTTTGGGGTTTTCTCCTCATCAAAAGCATTTCTTAAGTGCCTATCTAAAAGCAATTAAAGACTGTGTCTGCCCTTTGGAAGCTAAGAATTCATGATGCAAATTAACTAGATAATTTGCAAAGTACCCTTGAGATTGAATTTTCTCTATTACACATTTCCCATACTTCAGGTGAATAATTTAATTTAAATGACAAAACCCTATCTAATCAACTGGGCATAATGACATTTTCTTTAAATTAGACTCTATTTTGAATTAAAAGAGTTTTATTATAAACTGTGTGTTTTTGGTTTTTCTAAGTATATAGAAAGCTTGTATAATTCAGATTTATCGATTTCCTGATTTAATGTAGACTTTGACTTTTTTATTAAAAACCTTTGTATTAAAGCAAGTTATGTTATTTTTCTTTTATGCATTTATTACTAATAGCTTTAAATCTTTAAATGTATTGAAGCATTGTGCTGTCTGAAAATAAGGAATTGCTTATAAACCAGCCACTTCTGAATACAGTATATAGCTGATTTAATAAGCTAGTTAGTGAATGGCAAATAAGTGTGGAGTATTAAAAATGTTCTTTGGTTGGTAAGGCCTAAGATAGGGTTTCATTTATTTCTATACTTTTTCTGTTTTTTAAACACCTGCATATTTTTGTGTAAATCTCTAAATTTAAAATATTTTTAAGTACATTTATTTTTGGTGTTTTATTGTATACAACCTTAGACATTCAATCAGTCAGTCCTTCCTGACAGGAGCAGCAGCTATCTGTCTTTTGCTGATCTACAAATAAATGAATTGAGAATTTAGTCTGTAGAGGTCCCTGGCTACCAAACACATTCTCCTTTGAATTGTTAAAACTTAGAACATTCAAAATAACTGTTTTGCTACAACCATGATTATTTTCCTGCTGTCTTTATTTATTTTCTCTTTAGAAGTGCACTTATTTCTGAAAAATCTGAATGAAACAAATGCTTAGAACAAACATAAATATAAGACACTTGGGACTACTAGAGATATTTTAGATTTTTATGAAAAAATGGGATATTGCTGCTTTAAAAAGGAATAAAGTAATAAAAATATCTTAGCTATTTTTTTAAAGCAATATAATTCAGCAATTGTCTAGAAAAGTAATCATCAGGCTACTGAGTTTGGTGTTCAGTTACTGAGTTTCAAAAATGTTTTGGTGGCATGAGGACTTTTTCATTGAAGGTAAGATAAGAATAAAAACTATGTTTACAAAATTTCTGTTGGTGAGGTTTTTTGGTTTTATTTTTTAGTTTTGAGATAGGTGTTACCCAAAACTCAAGAAAGACTATTTAGTTAATGTAAATTACTGACTTTTACACTTGAAAATCACATCAAGAACAAAATATTTGAAGTTTATATTTAAAATCTCCATTCAAATCTGTAGCTAAAAACATAGGCTACACAAACTGTGCTATACTTTTAGGTACTTATTGGATGTATAGCTTATATACAACTATCCAACTTGGTCAAAACCAATTAGCAAGCACTAAGTTGAAAATGCCTCAAAATAGCATAGGAATATGTGGCCCAGGTTCCACTACCTCCTGTTCTGTGGAAGACACTGACAATCATCATGACTTTTTCCACTGAGCCTCGAGGGAGCCACTGGGAATCCCATTCAGCCTCATTGTTCTCCAGCTGTTCCCTGACATACATCATTTCAATAATGCCACTGTAAGACACAACAGTGAAAACACCGAATGTTAAAATTTGGGCATTACAGTAAACTTGGAGACTCTAAATTCATCTTTCAAAAACATCTAGTGATACAAAGAACTTATATTTGTACACAAAATGCCTTCACTTGTTTTTTACAACTACTCTGTAATTACATAATTACTATCATCTTATAGATGATGAACATGAGGCTGAGTGATTGTGACTTGCCTAAAACACAAGTAATAAATTGCCCTTGAACCCAAGTCCAGTGTTCCCTACTCCTCCAAATCATAGAGTGAGCTTCACTGACAAATTAACTCATATGCTTCTGGGATCTCAGGAGTATACATGGAATGATAGGGCCAGAGTTATTACTTTGCATACTTTTGACCACAAGTGACAGAAAACACAAGTAAAAATGGCTTCAATGATAAAGAAAGTGAGTATCTTATGTAACACTAAGACACAAGATAGCTTCTAGAGTAGTCATTTTAGCATCTCAGAAACATCAAGGAATCCAAGAGCAGTGGCATGCACCTGTAGTCCCAGCTACTCAGGAGGCTGAGGCAGGAGGATCCCTTGAGGCCAGCCTGGGCAACCATAGCAAGACCCTGTTTTCCATTTCTCTACTTTGTCATGACAAGGGTGTTGGCTTTGTCCTTGGTCTTGTTTTCTCAGAGAAGCTAGATGACTACCGAGACTCTAAGCATCAAATCCTTACACAACATGTAAGGCCTTAAAAAGAGAAATACTTCTGCATATCCACTTTTTTTTTTTTTAAACAGAGCCTCACTCTGTTGCCCAGGCTGGAGTGCAGTGGTGCGATCTTGGCTCACTGCAACCTCCGCCTCCTGAGTTCAAGTGATTTTCCTGCCTCAGCCTCCCAAGTAACTGGGACTACAGGTGTGCACCATCACGCCCAGCTAATTTTAGTATTTTTTTTTTTTTTTTAGTAGAGACAGGGTTTCACCATGTTGGCCAGGCTGGTCTCGAACTCCTGACTTCAGGTGATCCACCTCCCTCGGCCTCCCAAAGTGCTGGGATTATAGGTGTGAGCCACCGTGTCCGGCCTTGCATCTCCACTGTTTAAGAGCAAGGAAAATCTTTTCCAGAAGCATTCTAAGCAAAGTAACCCTTACCTTTTATTGTCCATGACTGTGCCATCCATATAGTCCTAAACCAGTACCTGATGGGCAATTGATTTAAAACTAGTCAAGCATCATGTCCCTTCTACTGGGATGAGGCTAACCTAAAGAACATGACCACATGATACCAGAACCAAATTATGGTGCTTTAGACAACTACAAGGTAATCAAGACGATGCCACACAGGTTTATTGCAATGATTCGTACTTGAAGCCACTGCACCTAGATTGTGGTGTTGGATCTGCTATTGCCTACATCGGAACTGAAGGTTGGTCCATTAACATTTTTCACAGAACAGGATTGGGTCTCTGGACATCATACAGCAGGATGGACATCATACAAACAGGCCTTGGTCTTTTTCGTGCTTTTTCCATTCCTCCCAGATACTATTCATCAGAGTAGATAATCTATTGGTCCATCTCCTCTAGAGCTCGTATCAGAAATAGGCACCCTCATCAACTTATTTCCTCCCGAGATCCAGCCAAGGGTGGGGTGGTCTAATTACTGTTAGCTCAATTGCTTTGTCAAAATTGGGAAGATGATCTCTGGCTAATGAAAATTAAACATTTCTCAGGTGAGATTGCTACCTACCATCAAGTTACCTGAATTACTTTACCTCCTCATTAAAACATTCATGATCAAACTCCTAAACACAGGAAGACTTTTAAGTGTCTTCCAAAGGGAGAAAATCACGGTAGGAAAGGTAAACTGTCAATTTTACCTTTAGGAAATTGACCTTTAGGAAACTGTCAATACTTACCTTTAGGAACTGTCAACACTTACCTTTAGGAACTGTCAATACTTACCTTTAGGAAAGGTAAACTGTCAATACTCAGCCTAACATTTTTTTTTGAGATGGGGTCTCACTCTGTCACCTAGGCTGGAGTACAGTGGCGTGGTCTCGGCTCACTGCTACCTCCACCTCCCAGGTTCAAGCAATTCTCCTGCCTCAGCGTCCCAAGTAGCTGGGATTACAGGTGCCTGCCACCGTGCCCAGCTAACTTTTGTATCTTTAGTAGAGACGGGATTCCACCATGTTGGCCAGGCTGGTCTCCAACTCCTGACCTCAGTGATGTGCTCGCTCAGCCTCCCAAAGTGCTGGGATTACAGGCGTGAGCCACTGCGCCCAGTCTTTTTGTCTTCTTGGGTAAAAAAATCAGGAACAGAACTTGGAGAACCCTATTGTACAATTCTACATAATACCAAGAGGACTGAGGAAGACTTGGGATACCATACCTGCTTTAAGAGTGTTTAAAACCTATAAAAGTAAACATTAGTTGGGTCATTGATGCTTATATACGCACACAAACACATAATCCCTAAGGGAAAAAGAAGTGTAAGTAACTCCACATAAAAAGAGATGTGTGCACAACTATTCCCTCATTCTTGTCCTAAGTTTTGTCCATCCTTGCAGTTTGCTCAGAATTTTAGTATATTGCTATTCCTGTTCTCTAAGAAATACTGCTTCTCTCCCCGCCACTTCCCCACTGTACATACCATACTACAACAACCCAGGCTTAAGAAAATTCACTTTTGACAAGTTAAAGCAGTATTTCCTAGAGTACTCACAGCAACTTTCAAAATCAGCTACAGGGTACATTTGAAATAAGGACTTAGTGTGATTCACCCCAAACCTACTAAATCAGTCTCTGGGGGTGGGTCTAAAATTGTGCACATTCTCATGCACAGTGAATTCTGGGAAACACTAAACTAACAGAAAAAGAAACTAATACCTGCTCATTGGTTTTTGTGAGAAAATATATATAAAGTAACTGATGCACAGTAGGTAAAATACAGAAGTCAGTGTTTACAACAGTGCATGGCACACAGTAGGCGCTCAATAAATACTTGTGAACAAGTGAATTAAATGACTTTTTGTGGGTGGCCCTGCTTTGCACCTACGGCCAATCTCAAAATATTTTCACTTTTAATAAAAACCTAAATACGACTCCAAAAGCATTGAGAAAAGGAATGTATCTTTTGCTGAAGTTGTTATTTTCTAAGGGGATAATGTAAGAGGGTTTGCATTACACAGTGAAGTTCCCTAAATACCCCTTTAAGATATCTCAAATTTCCTGGCCGGATGCAGTGACTGATGCCTGTAATCCCAGCACTTTGGGAGGATAAGACAGGCGGATCACATGAGGTCAGGAGTTCGAGACCAGCCTGACCAACATGGTGAAACCCTGTCTCCACTAAAAATACAAAAAATTAGCTGTGTGTAGTGGCACATGCCTGTAATCCCAGCTGCTCGGGAGTTCGAGGCATGAGAATCGCTTGAACCCAGGAAGGCAGAGGTTGCAGTGAGCCAAGATCACACCACTGCACTCCAGCCTGAGCGATAGAGTGAGACTCTGTGTAAAAAAAAAAAAAAAAAAAAATTAAAAAAAGATGCAAATTTCCTCTCCTCATGGCAGCTGCCACCATCCCCTTTACCGCCCTACCACCTCTCAGGAGTGCACTGTCCTCCAATTACCTCTCTTCTTTAGGCCACACTCAAGCTGATCTTGCCTGTACCAGAAGCCCACCATAGGCCCCCTTCTTTCTCTAAACATACGGGAGAGTGTTGGCCTCCTTGTTTCTCCAAACTGCACTCATCAATCTGCCCAGCAAATCCAAGCATCCTCCCCTGAATTCACCCTCCACGTGATGCTGGGGGCAGGGTAGGAAGAAAAGGTAGTTTTAAACACTAATAATTTATTTCCCCCAGTCACTTAGGAAATCAATAATGGGTAGTTGCTATTTATTTAATTTTAATTTTATTTATTCATTTATTTATTTTTTGAGATGGAGTCTTGCTCTGTCACCCAGACTGGCGTGCAGTGGCGTGATCTCAGCTCACTGCAACCTCTGCCTCCTGGGTTCAAGCGATTCTCCTGCCTCAGCCTCCCAAGTAGCTGGGACTACCGGCGTGTGCCACCACACTCGGCTAATTTTTTGCATATTTAGTAGAGATGGGGTTTCACCGTGTTAGCCAGGATGGTCTCCACATCCTGACCTCATGATCCACCCACCGTGGCCTTCCAAAGTGCTGGGATTACAGGTGTGAACCACCACGCCTGGCCTATGTAATTTTTTTTTTTTTTAAATTTACCATCTTTACCATTTTAAGTGTACAGTTCAATGGTAATAAATATATGTATAGCCTTTTTCCCCCGCTATTGTTTTCCACCCCCTCTTCTCTCCCCTTCCTGGCTTCTGCGTTATTTATTGTTATGCATCATTGGATATAGTATCTTCAATTTAACTACACTCTGAAGCAGGTGTGGTTTTTTGTTGCTGTTTTGCTTTGTTTTGGTTTTGTTGTTGTTGTTGTTGTTGTGGTTGGACCAAATAAAATATCTAAGTGGCTTTAGGGACCCCTCTCTAGACTAAGTTATATTGTTACAATCCCAGCAGGAGGTTAAAAGGAGTTTACAGCTTGTGAGGCAGTTGTTCCTAATTCCAGATGGACAAAGGAATATTTGTTCCACCTTTAAAATATTTGTTCTTGCCTAAGTACTTAGCAGTGAAAGAAAATTAATGAACAAATTAGTGACAGGGAAGCAATGATTCCTTGACAGCAAGGCAGCCCCAGGGCTTTGGCAGGCGAACCATGCTGACCAGAACGAACTGTGTGCATTCTACTCTACAAATTCTCTTGCATTCTATTACACAAATCATCCAATCACCTTTCTCACATTTTTTTTTTCCAGGTTGAAAATATGAGAAAACCACTCATTGGAAATGAGAGATTATCTTCCTATCCATCTGGCAAGACACTGTGTGTCTCTCTGCCTCATCCCATGGGTTATATAGCTACTCTTTAAAAAACAAAAAATCATGTCTTAGAAAGTAAAGCTCCAGAGCATAACGAAAAAAAGAGAGCAAGCAGGCTTTACACCTGAGCAGTAAGGGGAATATCGATTAAACAATGAAAGGGTTGTGCCCCATGGAATCCTGTGGGTCGGCTTTGCTTGTGCATTACCCTTCCTGCTTTTGTATTTTAGATTCTGGATTCCCCATCTCTTGCTTTCAGGCCTTGGTGGAAGTGAATCATCGTTTCTAAGAAACGGGGACTGCAATGATTCACAGGCAAGCTTCCTGGACACCACAATACGAACTCCTAAGAAGGAGACCTAACTTTCATGGTCTTGCTTCTACTGTCTACTAGCTGAGTGATCCTGGCCAAAATACTCATCATCTCTGAACTTCTGTTTCCCTACTAAGACAGGAATTAAGAAAGAGGTTGTGAGGCTCACTGAGCCAATAAGGGGTAAAATGCATTGTAAGCAAGGCCATGTATAGAATAGTATTTACATTTTAACCAAGATCTTAAAGCCCAGGTCTAATTGATTCTACCTGTTACCCCTTGGTAAACCACCTCAAAATAGCGTACACTTGTCTGGAAAGCCAAGGTTTGATCACATTCGAGGAGCCCTGTATGGAATTACTGTTTCTGAGCTGCCAGGAGAAGTTGGTGTTCGTAGAATTTGGGGTGGAGTTCCAAGTCAAAGCTAGGAATGAGACGTTTCAAGAATGGTTTTGATTAGGGACGTGTCTTGGTGTGTGTTGAGGACAGCACAGTTTTCAGGACGTCTCCCTTACCTCTAGCTGCATAAAGTCCTAGTCCCTTGCTTAAGCCTGCAACAGTTTTCTCCTGTCATGCCCACTTCCGCTTGGGAACACACTTCCAAACCCCTTGCCCAGATTTTCACAATGGCCTTAAGTACTGCCCTGAGGACACATAAGGTGCTGGTTAAGACGTTGGAATTGAGTCCTTGTAGGAAAATTATTACCTTTAGGCTGGTTGCAAAGTTTGATTTGGTGTCTTCTCTACTGTGCCTTCCCTTTACTCCTACTAGATTACCAAGGAATGGGTCTAGGGACCAGTGGGAGGGCAGCAAACCAGTGTATTCTAGACACGTGGTCATAGGATGTAGGGCTGTCAAGTGATCCCCAAAAGATCTTGTTTCTGGATTTACCCAACCGTTCCAGGAGGCAAAACGGCTTCCTCGGGACCCTCTCTCTGTTATTTACACCCTCGTCTCTGCAGCTAAGCCCTTCCTTAAGCAGAAAAGAGCAGGGTCTCTCGTCCAGCACCCTTCTCCCCAGCCCAAGCCCCGTGCCCTCCGCTAACTCACCGTGCAAGTATCTTCATTCACCCTTTACCTTTGCCCCGAGGGTCTACAACTGCAATCTTCGGAATGCTGGGACAAAGCTTACTATGAGCATGGAAGCCTGTTTTCAATAGGGCGATTGCTAGAGGGACTCAACTGGCCTTTTCGCGCTGTGCCGCTCGCGGCAGGGCTCGGCGGGGCGGTGTCCGCAGCGGCTCCGCCCTTGGCCCGGGTCTCTTTCCCGCCCGGGAGCCCAGCGGCGCCCAGAGCGGCGAGCGGCTGGCTCCGCATGCTCAGTAGCCGCGGCCAGCCGGGCTGCGGGGCGGTGTCGGCTGCGCGCCTACGGGCTGCGGTGGCGGCCGCCGCGGCACCCGGCAGGGCCAGCCAGTCGCCTCTTCCCCACTCCAGAGCCGCCGCCTGGGACAGGGCAGGGCGGGCCCGGAGCTCCTCCATGCTGCCAGCCGCGGGGCTGCGGAGCCGGCCGGGTGGCTCCTGCGATGGCGGCGGAAGAGGAGGCTGCGGCGGGAGGTGAGGTTGCCTGCGGCGAGGCGGCGGCCCCAGGTGGGCGCGTGGCGCCTGACGCGCTGAGGGCGTCCCCGCGACGCCAGGTCGGCCCCCTCTGCCTCGAGGGAAGCGCCTGAGCCTGTCCCCTCGGGCCCGGCATTGCCTACCGAGGGGCGCTGGGACAAGGCCGCCCCGTGGGGCACAGGTGCGGCGTGGCGCCCGGCGCGTCCTCCAGGGGAGCGGGACGTGGGGAGGGGAGCCGGGGTTGCCGCCGGCGCTCAGTACGCCGTGTCTTAGTCCCGGGCCGGGCGCATTGGCTAAAGGGAGCCAGAGGGGCACCCTGCACCCGCGATGGGAGCGTCCGCTTCCACCCGCCGCCGGGCGCCCGCCTCGGCGTCGGCGTGACATGCACTGCTGAGGGGACTTCCTACGTTTCTTTCTTTTGTGTAAACCAGTTGTCAGCAGCCGTGGACGGAGCTCGGGTCCTGCGAACCCCTCATCTCTGAGCTGAAAATGCTCGCGGCTTCCCGGCTTGAACCGCTGCCCCGCGGTGGAGCGCGCAGGCGGGCAGGTGCGCGTGGACGCGGGGCCACACTCCGGTACCGCAGCCCGCACCGCGACAGCCCCTCCGTAAGCGACAGGCGGCTCGTGTCTTTCACCACTGCAGCTTCTGGAAAGCCGTCAGTGGAGTTAGCTTGTTCGATTATGTATTCCTGAGGTATTTTTGTGAATGGAGTTGGAAGTTTGCGGTGCTTTTTCCTTCTCGCTAGTATTTACTGGCAGTATTCTGTGGTTTCTTAAAACGGTGCTTTTGGGACCACGGCTCACAATTACGGAATGAATACAAAACAGCTGTTGTTGAAGACAAACGAGAAACAGGAAAACAGAAGTAACTAAAGGAAGACTGGCAGAGAAGTTCAGGGAAGCTGTTAATTCTCTCCTTTCCTTTTGGAATAAGGTGGTAGAGTTTCAGATTGTTCTCTGAAATAAGGCAATGAGAGGAGGTGGCTTTCGAAATTCTAATATAATTGTGGGAATTTACATCGTGGGGAGATTTCAGAAATTCGACCATTTGAATATTCCTTGTCTTAGGTAAACCCTTTGTTGAAAATAGAAGATGGCACGTGTGGTGTTAAGCTCTGACACCCCTTCTGCTCCGTCTCGTGACTGAGCTCTGCCCTTTACTGTCTGTGTCACCCAGGTTATTTGAAATCCCTTGGTCTGAGTTCCCCCATCCGTAAAATGGAGATAACTATGCAGTCTTGCCTTACAGGATTGTTAGGAGTAAATGAGATATGAATGCCAATAAAATGCTTAGCCCGATATTTAGGAAATAGTAAGTGCTTCATAAAACATTAGCTTAATGTAGTTACTAATTTACAATTGCAATTTGCTTTGTGAAATTGGTGAGTCCTGTCTGGTCCATTAAGAAAGTGTTGTCCCACGTGAGTTAAAATTGGCTAAACTGAAAGAACGAACAGTGAAAATGCACCTACTAATTCAAAGAACGACTTTCCCCAGATAAGTCTTACGAACTTATGGCAAGCTTTTAGATAAAGTTTATTGCTATTTTTCTAACTATTTTAGATAAACAGTTTATTGCTCTTTGCATACCAAATGTAAAGTTGGGAATAATAAAAGTTAAATTTTCTTAGTTAAGGGTAGCAATGTTTCTGTGGGGGCTGGGAGAGCCCGCAGGTATGAGTACCTAAGATGTCCCAGACATTTCACAAGGGGTGCTTCTGTTAGTCTTACGGCAGCCTTGTGAGGTAGGTGGTATCTCCATTTCACAGATGAGAAAACTGAGGCTGGCTCACAGTTATACAGCCAGGACGCGACAGAACTAGAGTTAAAATCCATGGCTCTTGCCCATACTGCTTTCATTTCTTTCCCATCAGACTTGGTGTTGCTAATGAGCAAGTGTGCTCACTTCCAGACACCTGTTTATCTAAAGAGTAGTAAAAATAAAATTCTCAATGGAGAGCTCTGGGAGGAAAAAAATGTATTTATATTTTTACTATTTCTCCCTATTCCCAGAAGGAAAACAAAAACAGGCCTCTGGGCCAGTTGGTGGCCATCTACAAAACTAGCCCTAAGGTTTTTTTGTTTGTTTTTTTAACAGTGTAAGCCAAACTATGAATTTCCCCACCCCATCAGTTTTAGATGGTAAACACCGAAATTGAGCATGCTGCCAGGTGACTGAGTGTCCTCCCGATAAATGATTCCAGAATCCTTCGAGTTAGGAAGAGGGCGGTCTTGGGGAGCAGCACATTTCCAAGACTGACTGCCAGAGATGGTCTGAGGTCGAGGCCTTTGTGGGGCAGCTTTCTCGCCTTCCATTTTCTTACCGGCTCGTGTTTTCACCTGTGATATTATAAGATCCGACTCTTTCACGTGTAGTTCTGCAATTACAGTGGTTTAAATTCATTTTGTGAGTCAGAAATCAAAAGTCATGTCCAAGTCAACTTTGCATAAGCTCCTGTTCCTGGCGTGGATCCTTGGGCAAAATTTCAGCCAGAAATGCATTACTCAAGATAAACCAGGATGGGCTAATTACTTTTCACATATTTAAGGGGGAGGAAAATAGAGAAGGAAAGAGAGAAAGAGTGAGAGACGAGGGAGAAGAAGGAAAGAGGGGAGGTGTGAAGTAAAGAGAGGAGGAGAGGGGAAAGGAGGAAAAGGAGGAAGGAGAGAGTGAAGGAAGGAGATGGGGAGGAGGGGAGGGACTGCCACTCCATCAAGGTTTTACTCCAGGAAAAGCAAAAACTATGTTTAAAATATGTAGGGAAACCAAAATATCAGTAGGATAATACAGTGATTTCAATTTACTTTGTCCTCGTGAAATGATTCCCTAGTTCTAAAAAGCATGATGTTCTGTGCTGTGAGCATTGAGGTAGCATCCTTTTGAAGTCTCCCTTTGTGTCATGTTCAGGAAATCATAAATCAGCAAATAACAATTCATTCTAGTAGCCCCAGTTTCAGTTGTCTCCTTTAATTGAAGACCTCCACTTCTCTGCAGTGACAACTGAGTTACTCGGGTGTTTGGGATCTGGGTCCTTAGTCAGTATCATCATGGTCATAAGCATTATCAGGGGCCTCAGAGTGTGCCATGTGCCCTACAGGAGGCAGGGGCACCTCCTGTTTTGTGAGGCAGTGATTTCCTGCCCTGGTTTTTGCAAGTTTACTACCTGGAGTGGCTCCCCTGGTTCTCAGCATCCCAGCCCTCTGTAGCCCCTGCCTTGCCTAGTGCCTCGCCCCTTCCCAGTGGCAGGAGCCGGTGGGAACTAAGAGCCTTCAGTGTAAGCCCTTATTGGAGCTGGGACTGCAGGTGAGATATGTTCTCTGTAGTGGCATGTAGGATTTCTAGATATTTACTGGTAATTTATGCAATACTTAGCTATGAATGCCCTGCCCCACCTGTTTCCTTCTCTTACTCAGGTGCTGGCACCCTTTCTGGTCCCTGACACATACTATTTATATTGTATCACGCTAGGCTATAATATCCCATTTACCCACCAAATTTTTTAACTTTAAATATTTTTAAACCTGGCTGGGCGCGGTGGCTCACGCCTGTAATCCCAGCACTTTGGAAGGCTGTGGCGGGTGGATCTCCTGAGGTCTGGAGTTCAAGACCAGCCTGACCAACATGGTGAAACCCTGTCTCTACTAAAAAATACAAAAACTAGTCAGGCGTTGGAGATGCGCGCCTGTAATCCCAGCTACTCAGAAGGCTGAGGTGGGAGAATCACTTGAACCCGGGAGCAGAGGTTGTAGTGAGCCGAGATTGTGCCATTGCACTCCAGCCTGTGACAGAGCGAGACTGTCTCAAAAAAAAAAAAAATTTTTAAACTTAAAATAGTCTTAAACTTCTTAAAATCAGTTCAGTTATATGATGTTAACATTCTCACCTGAAAATACTTAAATGGTTGGTATGATAGGAAATTTGACATTTATGTAGCTAAATTATTTGTATTTCATTTCTCTAGTCTTTGACGGTTTAAATCTCTAGATGGTATCATTACAGAGAGATTAAAAACAAAGAAGTCTAAAGGAAAAGGAAATGTAAAGAGAATCATTCTTCCACTCTATGCTTTGCATTAAAGGATATTTAGAATTGAAGGTTAAGACTATTGTGATAAAACAATAATTTCCAAGACATTAAAAATGTTTTACTTACAACATTTCATACATTTTTAAGTAGATTAGAAATACACTTTATCATATTTTTCAAGCATATCACAGGGAAAGTAGAGAATCATCTACTCTCCTTCTTGACCAAAGTGCCTCCACCTTGGCCCCTCTGATATGTCCTATACTCAATTATGTGAAGGGACCTGCCTTTCCCTAACATAATGTACACTTTCCCACCACCAGGCCTTTCCTCAGGCTGTTGGCTCTTCCTGGAATACCCCCGTCCTCCCTCTAGATGGTCCTGGAGAATCTTAACCAATCAAGCTCGAAGGCTGAGTGCAGATGTCACTTTTTTTTAATGTGTGGAGGAGAACTGGTGTAGGAAAATAGTATAAGCTTTGGAACTAGGCCATTGGGCTTGTGATTTCTGATTTCATTACTTGTCAGCTGTGTAAACTTGGTCAAATTTTAAAACTTCTCTGACCCCAATTTCCTTATCTGTAAAATAGGGGTAAAAATACCTAACTTGGAAGGTGGTTGTGGGAATTAAATGAGATAATGCTTACAGACTGTTTAATGAACTCTGACCTTCAACAAATGATTTTCCCCTTTTCCTCATGCAACCTTCCCAGAACCTCCTCGTCACCCACATTGAAATTATTCTCCCCTCCTATTTGCACATTGCAGTTTTTTTTGAGTGTGTGCCTGTGATAACACTTGTGCCTGTTTGCCACAAGTTATTTGGTTTCTTAGCTCCACACTTAAGTTGCACATTCCCAGGCGGCCAGAATTAGTTCTTACTCAGCTTTATAATCTCCAATTTCTTGCACCTATGAAGTGCTTAATAAAGGCTTGCAGATTTTGAATGAAGGATGGTTTGTTTAAGGTGTGGA